CGTGGGGATGGAGACTCTCCCTAGGTCTAGCAGCAGTTCCAGCTGTCTTGATGACAGTGGGAGGGATAGTTCTGTCCGAGACACCTAATAGTTTAATAGAACGAGGAATGCAAGATGAAGGGAGAAAAGTCCTCGAGAAAATCAGAGGAACTAAAAATGTTGATGCGGAGTTTGAAGACATGGTGGACGCAAGCGAGTTGGCTAACTCGATCAAGCATCCATTCAGAAACATCCTTATAAAAAGGAACAGGCCTCAATTGGTTATGGCAATCCTGCTACCAGCGTTTCAGATTCTGACAGGAATAAATTCTATTCTCTTCTATGCTCCAGTGCTGTTTCAAAGTATGGGATTTGGGCGCAATGCTTCCCTCTACTCCTCAGCTGTGACTGGAGCAGTTCTTTGTTCCTCTACCTTTATTACCATTGCAACAGTCGATAGAGTAGGCCGGAGATTTTTACTTATCAGTGGTGGAATACAAATGATAATATGCCAGGTAAACATGCACTACTCTTTCATGTGCATTGGCTAAAGCAGCCCGGCATGTGTCAATTCCATAACTACATCATAGAGGGTAGAACCTTCATCACCTCTGGCCTCAAATAACCATAACTACTTGATTTGTGAAACAGGTAATTGTTTCTGTAATCTTGGGGTTGAAATTCGGGGACGACCAGCACCTATCAAAAGGTTTCTCCGTGTTGGTTGTCGTTATGATTTGCTTGTTTGTTCTAGCCTTTGGATGGTCATGGGGCGGGCTTGGCTGGACCATTCCAAGCGAGATATTTCCGCTGGAAACCCGATCAGCTGGACAAGGCATTACAGTAGCTGTAAATCTTCTTTTCACTTTTGCTATAGCTCAGTCTTTCCTCTCCCTCCTCTGCGCGTTCAAGTTTGGAATCTTCCTCTTCTTTGCTTGCTGGGTTCTTGTCATGACCATTTTCGTCTACTTCTTCCTCCCCGAAACCAAGGCCGTTCCTATTGAAGAGATGATATTCCTGTGGAGAAAGCATTGGTTCTGGAAGAGAATAGTGCCTGGGAATCCAAATGATGAGGGCAGCTCGACAGAATTAGGTGAAAGAGTTGAAAGGACAACAGACTGACCTTGGCAGCATCTAGTGATCAAGACATCGTACAAGAAAGGCATAAATAAACATGCAATTCACAAAAAAGAAAAAGAAAAAAAAAAAGAGCATGATTGTTAGCCACGTGACCTTAAGTAGATGGATTAGGATGTTCAAGCACGAGACCCAACCCCGCGTTATGTAATGATCTTATTTTTACATTATCAATTTAGTTATCACTAGTTTATTAGGCCGCATTTTCCCTGTTGGTTTCAAATTATTTGAAACGTAAAAATATATTCAGATTGTTAAAAAAATTTCAATATTATCACTAAATTTGGTATAACTATTTAAACTAAAACAAAATCTTGCTACCGAAACTCGCATGCCTAGCTCATTTTTTGTTGTTCATCTTTTTTTTATAAAAAAAAATACATATAATATAATAAGGTAAGAGAAGGTAACTTGGTCAAACTAAATTAAAGAAAAAGAGAGAGAAGGACAAGAGGAGATAGAGAGAGAGAGGAGATGCAGTTATCTTGTAGATTGAAAAGATTGAAAAATTATTATTCATTTAAAATGAATAGTCTTACCATATTTTTTATCTCCTAATAAAAATAGACGGGAAGAATTGAGGGGAAAAAAAAGGGATTGAGCTTGTTCTAAACATGCTTTACATAGTAAGCATTATTCAATAATAAACGACATTATATTATTGAGCTAAATGATAAAAGAAAAGGAGAGAAAGAAACGAGTTTGTCCTAAACAACCATGAATAATATGATTAAGTTCGAGACTTGTTTTGAATGTACTGATAAATACTATTATAAATAACAAATGTTATTTATAAATAATAAATAAGACTATATTCTAAGGGATGATAGAGAAAATAAAAAGATAGAGCTCAGCTCAACTGAACTTCTTTTTCTCTGATTTTATTTTATTTTATTTTTTGTTGTATTATCATTTGTCAATTAAAGTCTTGTAAACATAAATGTTTTGAAGACTTTAACTAACTGAAGAGGGAGAAAGAAAATACTTATAATGTAAAAGTTTATCTTTGTGGCTATAATTGCACAAAAGTGTCACTTGTATATGCATGCCTTTGAATGCTTATTTGTTAAGAGATTTTTGTCAATATTTAATGGAGAAATATACATGATATTTCTAGATACAATAATAACAAGGACTTGAAGGTAATTAGTTGTAGAAACCTTGAGACATTAGTTATGAGAACTTAGAAAAATATGGTTACATGCTGAAGACAATAGTCAAAGAGATTTGGAGATGGTGGCTATATAGACCTTGAGAAATTTAGTCATAAGAACCTGGAGACATGACTAAAAAAATAGATATACTTATGATTAAGAGTCTGACTAATTGTCAAATCTGTTATCATTTACACTTCTGCCATTTATAAGCTATTAGTCATTAGTATTATTCATGGAGTAGTAAATTGAATGTAAAGTTTGATTAGAACGATCCTTGAAAAATACTATTTATGAATAATAATGAATATTATTCATGGATACTGAAATCAATTTATGCATAATACTATAATAGTAAATTAGTAATACTATTTATGAATAATAAAATTGAGTTATGCATTGTACTAGCTCAGTCAAAATAAAATATTATTTTATTAAAAGACAAAAGATGAAGATTTAAATCTTTAAAGATAATCCATGGATTATTTGATCTTAGGCAGTAGTGTAAGTGTGTAGGCCTCTCTCCTTAGCTCTAAATGCTTTTCTTTTCTCACAAACTAGTAGAGATGACCTATGATGATCAATCATTTTATTTATTTTCTAAGTGCATGACACTGTTAAGTGTCATAATGAAAAAAAATATAATTTATTTGAGTCTTTTGTGTCTTAACCACCTTTCATTGTAGGAAGTCTTTTTCTTAAATAATAACTAGAACCTTTATCTATGTGGTGGTTAGATGCGTGGCTATGAGCTCGAGAAACATTAGACAATAAAGGTTGTGCTCTATAATGTTCCTTTGGGTATTCTTATTAAAAATAATGGCTTGGTAGAGACTTTGCCCATACATGGAAGTATGGGTGACCTTGTCTAGTCATACTAACTTTTTCCACACTAATGTAATTTTTCATCGTATGTTTAATGCCAATGATATTTTTATCATAAAATATGTATAATATTTTTCATAAAGAATAGTTATAGTCCTTATTGATAAGAGCTTTAATGGTGATAGGTTCAAGTAGATTCTACACAGTTAACATTTCTTAATTGAATCTTTAAAGATATATCCTAATACTTTCATCTTCTCGCTTTGTCATTATGAAGAGTTATGTGATACTTTTTTCTGGCAATAATTCTTCTACTAAATTAGAGATGAGTTCTATATAGAGATCATGAAGACTTTGGATAAAGCCAAGTTTAACGTTATGATATCATAACTTAGTAGATCTATGAAAAGTTATTGAAAAAACTTTGCTCGTAACATCAATGTCTTGTGTGAAAAGTTCTTATGATACCATAACTTATTAGATCTATGAAAAGTTATTGGAAAAACTTTGCTCAGTGTCTTGTGTAAGAACTAAAATATTTCTCATATTTTATATATACTCTCATGAGTTTATGAGTCTCTTATAGTTATCTAGATTGAATTTTGCAGAGACATAATTTTTTGAGAGTTGAGCGTGTAATATTTTATAACAAAGTGGAGTCTTTTTATGAGCATTGTACTGTGGCTCATAAACTCGTGGAGTCAATCAGTATTTAAATTCTTCTCAAATAATGAACAAGTAAAAATTTAAAAAGATAAAAATGATATTTTTATGTACAGCGAAAAGAAGTGTATTTTTTATATAATAGAGAGATATAAAGACAAGTGTTTAAACCCTCCCTCTCTTTCTCTCAAAACTGAAAATATATAGCTTAAATTTTTTTTAAAGAAATATCTAATAAAATATATTATTTTTGAATAGCATGGATAATGATAAATAATATTATGCAAATAATATTATTTATTAATAGTAAAACGAGGTAAGACAATACAACTTTGTCAAATTGGGCCAAAGGAATAAATAGAAAGAGAGGGGAGAGAGAGAAAAAGGAAAGGGAGCTACCTTGTAGTTTAAATGTGTTGAAAAAGTACTATTCATTTATATTATATAATTTCATCATATGTTATTTCTTTTATTTTATTTTTATAATATAAAAGTACTATTCATTTATATTATATATATACTTTGAAAAAGTATATTTTCTTTTTTTTTAATTGAAGAGAGGAGATGAAGAGAGAGAAGAAAGTAGAGCTTGGTCTAACTAAATTACATAATTCAAAACTTATTATGAATAAGCTTTATATAGTAAATACTATTTATGAATAGTAAATAAGATTACCAAATTAAGTGACGAGAAAGAGAGAAAAAAAGATGGTGAGAATTGGTCTAAATGACTAAATATTATTATCAAGTATGAGTTTCGTTTTGAATGAATTTTGCTTAATAAATATTATTTATAAATAGTAAATAAAGCTATACAGAGTTAGGGAATGAGAGAGAAAGTAAGTAAATAAGATTACATCAAAAAATATTTTATAATATTTTAGCTTTATATTTTAAAAAGAGAAAAATTTATTCGGAATCAAATTAAAAAAATAAAACTCAACCAAAGCAAAAAAAAAAAAACTTGATAAATCAAAATCTGTCAAAATATTCCAACTAAAAACCCATTCATTCCATACCTATTGCTTTAACTAGGATAAGATACTGTATTATCTGATTAAAATTGGGTTCTCTCCTAGTTTGAAACAGATTAGGCATTTTACTCTTTATATATTTTTTTTAAAATATATTTATGCGCAATATAAATTATTAGATTTTTAATACGTCGGCTCGCATTGAGGCCCATTAATTTCCTTGGGCCTGGCCTTGTGCTCTTATGCTGTCTACAGTCGTTTCTGGTCCCAAAAACAAAACAGTACAAAGCAAAACCCGGAAGCAGAGCGACCAAGGGTTTAGCTTGCGTTTCCAAATCCCAATCGCTCCAGTGAGTCTAGAACCCGCCGCCACCAGGTTCTCTCTCTTCTTATCTATCAGTAACAATGTTCTAGATGTTATCGCAGTTATCTTTTTAATTTTCTCTTTTAAAGTAAAACAAGAAAAAGAAATCTGCTTCTCCTCTGTTGTTTCTCGAGATTCACTACACCTACAAAAAGAACAGAATTTTTATTTTTTTCATCTTGATGTTCTGACATGATTAATCTTACCCTTTCGTTGTTTTATAAAATGGGGCAATGAAGTATGTTTTTGTTTTTGCTGGTAATAGCAATGAGCATTTGGTGTTCGATGACAGTTGGGTCTAAAGCTTTGGACTGGCGATACATTAAAGAGTGTTATCAAATGTTTTTATTGCAGCTGGCCGAGCTGGTTGGCTCTAGTATTGCCATTCAGTAAGTTAATACAGCAGCATATAGTAAAACTAGGGGCACAAATCAGCTCTTCATGTAGTAGTTTCAACAGTGCAAGATAGATGGTGCCCTACACTGTTTTGAAATTTATGCAAATACTGTTTTTTTGTATATCAGAAAATGGCCGAAAGGGTTTTGAGAGTTTCGTTTCTCTTCCTTAAAAACTATATTCTTTCTTTATTGGCTGATGTTTCTGTAAATATGATAATGGTGTACTAGGTTTTGCTTTGAAATTTGTTTGCTTGTCTAATTTATAGCTATTGATTTTAATATGCTTGATTGAGACATTAGAATTGATGTTTAGAGAGACCTAATTGTATAAAAAGTTTTGTTTATTCTAATGGACGGCTCTGCTTCAGCAGTTTGGTAAACTAGCTTGGATCGAGGAAGATAAGAAAGAGTGAAGATGCCTCTTTATGATTGTATGCTAATGTTGAAACCTCATGTACGAAAGGAAGCATTGATGGACTTGGTTGCTCGAGTAGGCAAGCATGTTTATAGTAGAAATGGTGTTGTCACTGATATAAAATCATTTGGCACTGTTCAACTGGGGTACGGTATTAAGAAGCTCGATGGTAGACATTATCAGGTGAATATGCTGCTGCTGTGGAATTTGGTATAACTCAGCAATGCTTCTTATTATGTTGTAAGATGAGCTCACCATCCTCTGAAATCTGAATCCTTTTGGTTTCTTCTTTCCGTATCAAGAATCTGTGTTTTTTTATTAAAAAAAATGGCAAGTCTTTTGATTCATTATGTTGATTGCAAGTTCTCTTTTATAAACTTTTTATCTTGGGATTCTTCCAGTTTAGGGATTTTGATTTAGTGTCATACAATATCAGAGTAAACTAAAACCTTGAAATGGCTGCAGGGTGGTTTAATGAATTTTTAAAACCTTTTGTTTAGTGGTGATGGATGGATGTTCACTACTTTGTTTAGAGTTCCTCACTGCCTCATTTATTAAATCATTTCCAAGGAAATTTCACATCAAGGATGACCAACTATAACATGCAAATTTTACTGGAGGAAGATATGCTGGATGAGTGGGTGGTTTTTGACTGTGGTCTTAGGTCTTTATAGTTACAGTGACTATGGGATTAGAGCAGGTACACATGCAGATTTTATCCCAAGTCTTGCTGTTACCAGCCAAAAAATATACCTTGAGATGATGAAAGATTATTCAATGATAGTGATAAGAAACTTTTTTGGAGAAGGAACTGATGATAACTTGGAATTTCATAAATAGGGAAAAAGAGGATTTTGATAAAACCACTCTCCTATCCATTAAGTATTTTTGAAATTGGTGCGTCTTGAAATTGAAAATTTCTCAATCTGTACTCATATCCAAGGTCTGCTAGCGTGGCTATCTTTGTCTTGTTAAGTCAAACTAATTTTGTTGGGTCCTTTCAGTTGAGTTTCATGTTAAGTTCCAAGGAATCAGTGTGGACACCCCTTGATAAGAGCTTTCTTTTGAATGAATACTATGTCTCTGGTTTCTTGCATGTAGAGGCAATCAAAGCTGACTTTAATAAATTCTTGCCCTGAATCAGAATTTGATGCTCTATTGGGATTACTAATAGTGGGATAGTTCAGGTTAGATGAACTCCTTGGAACATTCTTGCCTTAGCAGAAATATAATAATTGCACCTTCATCATTCCTGACTCCCAAGAGCATCATTCTGATTTCACTTTCACTGGACATTTTTATGAGTTGATTGGACTATTATATTTGATTAGGGCCAACTGATGCAAATAACAATGATGGCCACACCTAACATCAACAAGGAGCTGCATTACTTGAACAAGGAGGATCGCCTGCTGCGTTGGCTTCTTGTTAAACACCGGGACATAAAATTTGGGCTAGAATTCATGGATGAAGATGATGAAGATGGCGAGTTTGATTTCAGTGAATTCCCTCGGGACAGCATTTTTGACAACGACAACAGTGATGATTATGAAGACAGCAGCCACGATGAGGACGACGATGGGGACCAATAATCACAAGTAATGGATTTCATAACTGTAGTCGTTCTAAGATTAGGATTTTATTGGCATTACCTCTGCAAATGTATGCGGTGTTGGGAGTGAAAATATATATTGATAAAAGTTATCAGTGTGCTGTTTGTTTGAGCTTGAGCGCGGGTGATGGGCCTGCCTCAACATGTAGGTTGCTAATAGATTAATGTCATTGAAGATGAAGATGTCACCAGTTTGGTTTAATTTCATCTGCATCGTGCATTTGTCCGTTGAATAATAAATTTTCTAATGTTCCCAGTTCAAAGTTTTCCAATCTCTTTAAACATCAAATCTTGATATGCCTCATTGTTTGTGCCGGCAGACGAAAGTAAAAGGAAACCAGTGAGAATCTGACGGAGTCACCTTATGCCGTGGCAGGTAACACTGAGTTGCGGGCACGAATAACTCATGGGTGTTAATATTTATGAATGGTTTGAAATCTCTAGTCTTTCTCAGCTTTCTACACTGTCCTTGAATGAATCCAGTGAACAAAATATCATGCAAGAGGAAATAAGAGCTAATTCGTTGACGGATCTTTCTTCTTGAAGTCATTCAAAATGTGGTACCACATCCAGTCCGTACCCTATTATTGCCTAATTTCCAATTGTGGGCGAATTGCACGGCGACCGTGTCATAATGGATGCCAGAGCAACAACTGCTGGCTCAATCAATATCCTTGCGTGATCACATAATTTAGCAACCCCGTCATTTGAGTCGGCAGATCTGTCTTTGACCCTACTTTTTTAGGGTGGACGTGAAATACAATACAGGTGGCAACGATGCGCACGGAGCAGCACATGCATCCCAGTCGATCAAAATGTTCCGTGAGACAAGAGGGTCCCGCCTACAGAGCCCAGATCATGCAGGCTGGTGTCACCAATCAGTCAACCCTCCCTCGCCTTTCTTATCCCACCAAACATCCACGTGGCAACGTCTAAGCCGTACGTACGCCTAAATATTGTGCCCCGCCAGGGCCTTTAGCTGGGAAACTACAAATCAGTCCCCCAATTACATGTACAATCTCAATTGAATCTTCAAAAACTTAAAATTACAATTAATAATATTTCTCATCATCAAAATCAAAACTAGAGAATTAACATCTCTCGTTTAGAATTTTGAGACAGAACAAAATTTAAAATTATAATTAATTGTCACACGTATCCTTTATTTTATATTGATTCTATATATCTTAATATAAACATCCAATTTATAATTTTATTCTGTTTTTTAAAGAAAGAAAATAAAATTCATACATCTATATTATTTTCTCAATCTTGTATGAAATTGAAATAACTGAGTCATTTTATTTGGACCGGAAACTTGGTGATGTACAAAACAAAATTAAAAACTTATTCAACTCAATCATTAAAAAAAAAACCCATAGGATTACACATTATTTTTGGAAATATATGTTGAATTGGGTAATCTTTAGATCATCAAGTTGAAAACATCTATATAATTTGAGGACTGATTTGGTAGTTTTCCCAAACCAAATATCTATGACTTGGAAAAATGAACTAATCACGACGTCATATTTCAGAAAGCTGTGGGGAAGGAGGTGGAGACGAGGAAGGAAAATCCTAACGCCCTTAACCACCTCATAAATAAATAAATAAATACGCGAATCACACACAGGACGGATTTCTGCTACATTCAAATTAAAACCTGATTGATCAAAGAAGACAGTGAAAAGCGATGGAAACAACGACGACGAAAACGACGAAGGTGAAGGTGAGGATAGTGGAGAGAGAAGGTGGTTCAGATGGAAGTAGTGGAAGCTGGGAGAGCAGTGGCGGAGGCGGCGGCAGTGGTGGTGGTGGTGATGGCGGAGGAGAAGAGAGGGGGATTCATGTGTATTCTGGCTGGGTTTATCATTTGGGGACGAACTCGATAGGGCGTCAGTATTGTCATTTGAGATTCTTGTTTATTAAAGGAAAATATGTTCAGATGTACAAGCGTGATCCTCAGGATCATCCTGGCATCGTATGCTTTCTTCTTTGCCTGCCTTTTTTCTTTATTTGTTTTTTGCTGCCCTTTGTTTTGGCTCAAGGATCAAGAAAGTAAACGCTGCTTTTTTTGTGTGATTTTAATTTGATTCTTTTTTATGTTATATTTTTTTATGGATTCAAGTTAAAAAAAATTGGAACTGATGTGTATTGGAGAAGGTTTGTTATTTTGAGCAGTTATGGTGGCGAGAAAAGAGTTATTTGATAATATCTGCAGGTGTTGATTTGAATGAAGTTAAAACACAAGTCGTAGGATTTTGTGGGTAAACTAAGGGTTGAAATGGGCTGATGGAACATTGGACTGAGAGAGGTGGGAAGTGTTGTGGCTACTGGGTGGAGAGTTGAATATAGGTTTTGATAATTTTGCTAGGTTGATCTGAGTGCTGTCGTGGGGTTGTTGGAGGCTTCGAGGTTTATAAATGGTGGAATTGCACCTGCGATGGGATTTGTTGTTGTAGATGTGGTTTTGCATTGAAAAATGGGAAGGGTAGTGGAATCTTAAGAACTTTCAGTGAGGTTTTATGCAGCGTGTCTAAATTACCCACCGAACCGGCAAAACCTATAAAAATGTGATATTAGGGTGCTAACGCGCATTTCTTTTTCGTGAAAAATTCTCAAAACGTGTTCTAAAGTGGGAATTTTTCTCTTTGTTGTTTTTTTTAACTGGATTAGATTGGCAGTGTGAGGTAAAATGGTTTAACCTGGTGAGTAAGTCCCTTGGCTGGATGCATATTTGATCCTGTCTACCTATGTCTTCTGATAAGAAACTCAAAAAATTGAGAACGAAGTAGGAAATCAAAATGCGCTTTCCAAGTGCATTAGAAATGTAGTTAATGAAGTTGATTTATTTGGTCTGAATTTGTTGTCTTGTTCGAAAATTTCTTTCTTGCAGTTTGGACAGCACCTAGTTTAGGCAATGATGTAGGGTTCTGCCTCTTCAGCCGCGTAGCCTTTGGTTATTGTTATCTTTTGGCCTTTGTAACCTTTTTCCATTTTCTTTATACCGTTTCCTTCTTTTTCTGGGATTCTTTAGGAGGAGAATTTGTTTCCCATTGTGTATTATTTGTTGCAGTAACAGCCTCTTACTGAAAAATAATTATAAAATTCACCTGCTAATATTTCCTCTTTTTATTTTGTTCCTTGTTTTTGTAAATGACCCTTCTTCTTCCATCAAAGGGGAGAAAGAGAGAAAACTGGGATCATGTAATTTTAAGCTTCCCATCTTGATTTATTATGGCACACGATAAGCACATTTTATACACAACAGATTTGTCTATTGACAAGTTTTTAAAGTGCACGATCAATTTAACTATGTGATTTCAAGTGTTCATTTTGATTTGTACTTAAATCTGACTCAACCTTTTTTTTGGTCCAGAAACATATCAGGAAGGGTGTAATAGGGCCTACACTTAAGGTGGAGGAGCTAGGGCGTCGAAAAGTCAATCATGGGGTAAGAACCTTGTCAATCTATATGTCACGAGTACTTAGTATTAAATGTCTTTTTGCTTCTTCATACTTTAAGACCATTTTTTTTATGCTTCCTCTGTTGGTTTAGCCATTCTCCTCTTTCTTGAATAGCCTTTGAATCATGTCCTGTCATAAGCATGAGAAAATAATCTAGGCTAACTTTTTTTTTCCTTGAATGTAGGATATTTATGTTTTACGGTTTTACAATCGATTGGATGAGACAAAAAAAGGAGAAGTAAGTTACAGTTTTCATCTATAGTTTGCAAATTATTGGTGCTATTTCAAGATGGATTAGATATTTCAATGTGAAGTGGTAAAGATTGTTGGCGTTTTAGAATCCATGCTATGCACTGAACATATTCATTTATCTGTTGATTATGTGCTTTAATTTATTTTTTGTGATGATTGATTGTCTTGTGTCTGCTCATTGTGATAATTTATCATACGGAATTATAGTTGGCCTGCATGAAAGAAATATCAAATAAAGCGGCATTTGTGCCAGTTCACATGTTAGTTTTTTTCTCCATTTTCTCAATGCCAAGCAAATAAACAATGGATGGCCTCTCTTTAGGCATGCCATCTTCTACCCGTATCTTTTTTCATTGTCTGAATCTTAAAAAATGGATCCTAAAATAATGATTCTGTTGTACAATTTAAGTAATGATTCCAAGCCAACACTTCCATCTGTTTTACAACCCAGTAGACTCCACTGCCTTGTGTTCCCTATTTCACTTTGAAGGCAGGTTTCTGGCTGTAAGACTTTCGAAAGCTGTCAGTGATGCAAACTAATCAAACCTCAATTCACCAACGCTACATCCACTGTGTTGTCAATTGCTATTTAGCAGAGATTTGTCTTGATTCAACTTCAGATCTCTTATATTCTATTAAGCCATCTTACCCAACCTGGTTGTGAAGAAAAGCAGCCTCCAAGTTTTTAAGTTCTGACAATAACCTAAAACTTGCTCTTTGAAATTCCTTAGAAGCTGAGATCATCAATAATTCTTAAACCCAATTCAAAATTTTATTTGTCTTAAAGAATAGAGTATACTCTAATAGCTTCCATTAGTAGAACTTGTGATTTCACACCCTAAGAAACCATCATTGCAAAATTCTGAAAAATAGCTAGAATTGGAAATTTATTATGAAGAATATTCCTTCTTGAGCCTTTATCTAATTGGCATTCATACAAGAGCATTATGTGGAATTTTCCAGAAAGGCAACACATTCCAGGGGTTCACTGACATGTATTTATTAGTTCTCATCTTTTACTTACATCCAAAACATCTTCTTTATGCAATAAATATTGAGTGAGTTTGGAAGGAAAAATGGATTATTAAGTTCCAGAAAGATAGCTTTATAAGCTGAAAATGTCTGTCATAAGTATATGCACAAATATTTGTCCCCAGTATGTTACCTGATGCATGCCTGCACGTGGGATGCACTCATTATCACACGCAATGCTACTGTTACATCCCAGGGTGTAATCTTAAAAATCATGTGCTCTTGAGATGTTATTTGGAATCTGCATTTGGCTTGCTCTTGAGATGTTATTTGGAATCTGCATTTGGCTTGTGCTAACCTCGTGGGCCCTTTCATTTGCAGGTTTTTTTAATAAAGCAAATTAGTTTTATTTTCAAATTATTCTTAGTTACGCTTTCCTTTATATGCCAGAAAGACTTGCAACTAATTGCTTGTTTGTGCTTCAAGATTGCTTGTGCTACAGCTGGAGAGGTTAAACAATGGATGGAAGCATTTGATCAGGGGAAGCAACAGGTACAGGGAATTAGGCTTGAACATGGTGAACAATTGGTCCTGTGTTAATTTTATATAGAATATCAGAGGTAGTTTCACATATAAAATCATCATGGCAGAACCAATTATAACTGCATTATTTATTATATTGTGTTGTGGTATTTTATTCAATTTGTTATGTTTGGTTTCCTTTCTGACAACTCAAGAAATACTCGGTCCTTGTCTTGAAAGTGGAACTTATTGTTTTTGTTTTGAAAAAATTGGCATTTTGTGTAAGTAATGTTAGATGCATCAAATTATTCTCTTGTTTGGACCATCATAATACTCTTTTGGCAGGCTGAATTTGAACTTGCAAGAGGACTTAGTGCCAGAAACAAGCTGAACATGGAGGCAGAGTATGCTTCCTACTTGTGGATCATCTTGTTTAAATAATTATCTTTGGACGAGTCTCTTCACCAATTGGTTTTGCATGGATAATCATAGAGGATTTAACAACCAAATCAAGTGAGAAATGGAGGAATCTGATTTCTTGATGGGAAAAAAGCTATTCTTGTATATATGCATTATACATTCATTGGCATCTGTAATCTCCCCACATTTACAGATAGTTGAGTCCTGGCTTACTTTTAGCTAGTAATTTTTCACAATAATGAATTAAAAAGACATTCTTTTTGCAGCCAGATAATCCTAATTTGCTGATTTCTCAAGAAATGTAAATGTGATACCTATAGTTTGATCAACAATGGTTTCTGGTCTCAGTTACTCTTGCTGTATGTTGATATTTGGGTCTAGGTGACCAATTAAAAAATCCCCCAAATGGTTGTAGATGCGAGATTGACAAGTTATTATTCCTTAAAATAAGCGTTTAGAGAGGCTCAAGCACATATTATTATTAGCTAGTGTTTATATGTAAAGTTATCATTTCCACATGAAATCATGAATCATTAGAGCAACAAACATATAACCAGGTAAAGTTATCATTTCCCAGGACAGTGGGCCAATGCTAGTATTCCTCAGAGAATTTGGGTGGAAGATGTCCCCTATTCTGCTTCATCTCTTGTACTGCTGGATTCTCCTTTAGTTTAATGTTATGTTTATTCCTAAAAAAAGTTAGCATTTCCCATTTCATTATTTTGGTTGTAGATGTGTGATGTTATCGTGTCCTGTATTTTTGCAACAAACATATAATGAAGATAAAGTACAAACAGTGGGAACAGTTGGTTTTACTGGTTGATGGTTTATTCATTTCTAAAGAAGACAGGTGTTTAAATCCTTGCCAATCAACTTTTGTGCTTGATTTTATATGAAAACTAGGGGAACTAATCACTTGTAGCCAGGTCTATAACACAACTCTAGGATAGCTTATAATTAATGCAGGTAGTCAAAAGAGGCATAGGTTTTCTTTGGTGTCACTCTAAATCTGTGGAATCATATTGGCAATGCTTTTGTTTTTTATTGTTAATTTCTATTCGTATTTTTTGCTTGGTTCACTGCAGGATTTTATTGTCTGGTATTCTGGATGAATTATTATTGTTGAAATCTCTTCTCTTTTGTTTTGCAAGGATTATCAATCTTGAAGGACATCGACCTAGAGTGAGGAGATATGCTTACGGATTGAAAAAGTTCATAAGAATAGGGCAAGGTAAGGTGTTGCTCTCACTACTCATTAGCAAAACTGTTGCAACTCATTAGGCATTGGAAATTTTTCCAATTGTGCTATACAGTTTTCTTGTCCTGGACATGAATAATCAAAGTTAAGAGTGCATATCTTAGTAAAGTGTGCATATCTTGTCATGGATTACTGCATGACATAGGCTTTGCAGGACTTCCAAGTGTTAATAATGTATTTCAATTTTCAACGTAATGTTTTTCTGGCCACATCTGGAGTTGACTTGTATACAAGGGTGTGGCAACTTCTGGGATGTTATGTGTTTGTGATGGCATGGATCTGACATAGAACTGTCTATATTACAAAGGTTATGATGGGATTTTTGGTGCTCATGTGCATGATAGATATGTTCCATCATAGAAATCTCAACTCTTACATAAATTTATCATGATGTTCAGCAAGAACTGAGCAAAATTGCAGTGAGCTTAATGAGCTCAAACCAGCCATTGCTACCCATGTCCACTAAAAAAATTAAAATTAGAGGATTTATTTTTTGGTGAAGACCCATTTATCCTAGCAGCAGAAAATTAAAAAAAAAAAAGTTTGTAAATTAAACAAGGAAAACAATTTCTTGGATGTGATGATATCTGCTTGCATTTCTTAACATACAGGAAGATTATAACATATGTTGCATCGATCATTATATGATTTGTCTGTGTCGTTGCCATGTTGTGCGTGTTCCTTTTGTTATAATCCTTTCTTGGTAAAATCCTATAACAACTTAATTTAAATATTTATCTTCGTTATAAGAAATTGGGAAAGTTTAATAGTGGATGAAATTTATACCCCTTAAACATGCTAAGTGAATGTTTTATATCCTTCTATTCGGTGTTTACAAATATTGAATAAATTTGACTGTAAGAGTAATTTTTACAAAATAAAATATTGATGAATTTTTGTCAAATTGCTTCAACTCTTGATGCCAATTTTATATTTTATACTAAGTAACCTATCAATATGTGTGCTATAGAAATACTTACTGGTATGGAATAATCTTCAGTTTTTTTTTAAAAAAAAATTAATTTGCTAGTTCTGTCTGTCTTTTGTTATTGACAGGTCCAGAAACACTTCTTCGGCAATCCTCAAACTTGGCTGCTAAGATTAGGCCTGATAGGTATGAGGGTGAGGTTGGAGATGCAATCGACTTTCATCAATGGAAATGTGTTCGTACAGCTAATGGTACCTTTCTATTATGCAATTTTTATATTCTTGTTTCCAAGTGATGGTCATTGCTTTTTAGATGGTCCTCCCTAAAGCTCTTTCTTTCTCATTTTCTCTAGAGACTTTGACCATTCACTTGTTTTTTGTTCTAAATATATCATTTCATATTCTTCATGAACTTACTACTCATAAATATCTCTATTAGTGTATGGATGTCATAAATCCTTCATTTTGTATCCCAGATTCATATTTCTTATATGCCATTGATGAGATGGTACAGTTTATATATGTGGTTAGGATTCTTTATTTGTCTTTAACTTTTTTGGATTAATTCTGGAGAAAAATGGACAACTTACTGTATAGTTTGTTTAAAATTATCATGGCATTTTTGCTGGCCTTAGGAGAAAAATATCAATGGGTTGCTCTCTTGGGAATGGCTAATATAACTCTATTGAAACCTCTGAGCTTCTACAGAAGAATCACAAAAGATAAGGCAGGGATTAGATCTGTGTTCAATTTACTATTGCCCTCATAGGTATATTTTCAATGTGGATGATCCATACTATTGATAAGAATAGAATGCTACTGGTACTGATAGACTAAATGAGCAGGGGAAAGAAAATGTAAATTATTTATGTTTTGGGCATTCTCACAACTTATAAACATGTAGGTTGTGACTGCAATCTCTCGACAGTTGATGGTTACTGGGCCTGCTAAAACATGCAACAGAATCATTGTATTGGCATATAGTACACAAATAGATACTTAAGTATATTTCAAATATTGAGCAGAGCAAGCTAGAATAGGTTTTACGGGTTTGACATGAAATTTGTTAACTATGCGTTGATTTTCATTTCTAAATACTTCCTATTGCTATGGTTTCAGGTGTTCGAATCTTTGAGGATGTGTCCAATTCCAAGGTTTTTGTTTCTTACTGTTTCTGTTAGCCTTGATCGGAAAATGTTTTCTTGAATTCTTTTGGAGAATTATCCTGGAAAACAATCTTCATTGTGATCTCTCTTCTGTAATAACATGAAAAATTGACTTTCATGGTTGGATTGTGAAATTTAAGATGGAAGATGTGAAGTTTGCTGTTGTGGGTGATTGAATTTGTATGTATTTGACTTAGTTGTCCATGTCTGTAATTTATCTTTGTTGCTCTTCATGTTATCAATGAACCGAATAAAAAGCCTCTAGTCTTAATCTGCTCTGATGCATTGGTAGTGTTTGTAGAATGGTAAAGGTGTTCTTGTGAAAGCTGTTAGTGTGATTGAGGCCAGTGCTGATACTGTTTTTGAAGTGATTTTGAACCTTGACCAACATCAAAGATATGAGTAAGTTTCTCGATTTATCCTCTAGAGCTGTGTTAAATGATCATTAAATTTTTCTCTAATAATTCATTACAGGTGGGATATGTTGACAGGCGACTTGGAGCTGTTAGATTCTTATGATGGACACTATGATGTTGTCTATGGGACATGTGATTCCAATTATCTTTCCCGGTATTGTCTTTAGGCTGGATTGTTAATGCATTTTGCAAAATGTATAAAGTCTCTTTTTTTGGTTGCTGGTTTGCTGCTAAAAAGACCCTGCCTCTGAAAGAAAATATTTCTTCTCCCATTATTTTCTTCTTAGAGTGTGCATGCAAGCTTTCCGCAATGATTAGAAATTAAATACCATGGTCTATTTCTATTTTTTCGTCTTTGTTTCCATTGTAGTCTGGATTTAACTGGCTAACTAAACCCGTCCTAGTAAATGAATGGAACTGGAAATAGAAACTAAATGGCTTAAATACTTAAACTCGCACGATGCACATGTTGTTATACCGAGAAACTTGTGTGTGCTATTTTATCATCATCATTGCACATGTTGCTGCAGGACAAGCATATAGTTTTATATTTTAAAGCATATGTGATCTAAACCAAATTTAAACCATAAAGTGCAACCAGCTTGGAAACATGTTAAACTTTGAAACAACAAATATGCCACCTTTATAAGTAATTATTTGTACTTCAACCAACCATGCCATTGCTGTGTTTTGCATATCATAATTTTCTTAAGCTTCTTGTACACAATTGACTTTTAAATCTTGCACTCGTAATGATTTTTCCTTATTATTATTATTTAACATCATGATCCACGAGGCACTAGTAATTAAAGTAAGAGTTGCTACAATAGTAGTTTTAACTGCATCATGCTTCTTATTTCATCACTCAGAACTTACTTGTTAGACAACCTATTCCACAGGTGGAAATCAAATAGAGATTTTGTCTTCTCTAGGCAATGGTTTCATGGACAAGACGGAACATACAGTAAGCAAATATAATTAACTGATTTACAGTTGCTTGTCATTAGGTGCAGTGCTATGTGATATGCCACAAATTTTTTAGACTAGGTGAACTAAACCTTCCCTTTATCTGGTAATGTCTGGGACTGCCCCTTTTACATCTAGGAGAACTAAATCTCCTGATCTGCACCCTGCATTCTCTCTCTGTGCCAAAATTTGTCACTACTGCACTGCCATGTTAGAAGAAGAGGCATAATGATGCTTAGATCATTGGCTGCATGCATAGATCAAGTTGCTTTCAAGTCTTAGACAATATGAGTCATACTTGGCCTATATTTGTTGGATTAATTTAACATCATCACAAGTTAATATGCTTGTTGAATTACCACTAAACATTATGGTACCTGCTTGAAGAATGGTCAATAGTCCAATATAATGTGAATCATGCCGTTATCTTTTCTAAGAATCTATAGTTAGATTCTTTCTTTGAATTTTTTTTTTCAACCTTCTTCCATAGTTCATTAAATCAATTTTACTTGCCACCTCTGCTGTTGGCTGACATATTTCTGTTTATTTCTGAAGCAATTTTGCAACTTCCTGCTGTGCATAAGGAGCGACCTCCAAGATCTGGATATCAGCGGGAGAAAATCAACCGTAAGTGGATTCATCTTTTAAAATGCTACATTTTCATAACATCTGAACCATATGGAACTGATTATTGGCTCACAAATATTACCATTATCAAGGAACTAGACAGTAAATTGGGTTTACTATGATGTATTCAGCAGGGGATGGGATCTAAATATTTAAAAGTTAAATGAAGCAGGTCTATCTCTCTAGCTTCAGTTAAATATATTTGTGTTGATGAAGGATATACTGTTCCATTATTCCTCTCTGTTCAAAATTTAAATCTTTTGGATTGCATTATCGGACCTTGTTGTGAACGTCAAATAATTCAGTTGCCTTGCTTGCTATTTATATTATCTTGGTGCATTTCTATATCCATGCAGATAATGAAGCTTCTTTTTTCTGGTCATCTCTGATTGTTTTGTGTTAGGTTTCAGTTTCACATGCAAGCTGATCATCTGCAATAATAAATGAAAAACTATCAACTGCCTTCATTGATTTGCTGTTTTCTGTTGATCTGTATTATTCATGAGTTGTAGCTTCTACATGGGAGATTAGAGATTTAAATACACCCATGGAGTCAAATACAGCAAGATGTCTTGTGATGCAAATGTTAGAGATACAAGAAGCAGGATGGTGCAGATGGAAGAGAAGTCGTGGCTCAAAGTTTGAGAAGACTATTTCTTTTGCATTATTATCTCAAGTGGAAGGTTTGGTTTTGATCCTTTCCTTATCTGGTACACGCTGTGATAAGAAGTCTTCCTTTTAGGCCATCTAACATATATTGCCTCAGCCTAGTGAGGTCTGTGAGAGATTTCGGGAAGTTCTGTCATCGGAACTCCAACCCACGATACGATTCTTGATCAACTTCGAAACCAACTTCTCTGGTCTCTAGACTACGAGTTTGGCAAGAACTAACAAGGGTCGTTGCATCTTCACATGTCTATTGTTTACTTATTTATGTTTGGACTATAACTTCTATAAATTGGTCATCGATCAAGTTTAGGAATCACTTTGTTGTTGGCAACTAACATTTTTGTGATGTTATCTTGTCTCCCTAAGTGTTTATACCTTATCCTTCTTTGCAAGCCTTTCTCCTCTCCTTCTAAATATGCTCTTTGTGCATCCAGAATCCTGCCTGTTTAATTGAATAGCTATTAGAACCCAGGTAATATTTTATCCGAAATATATTAAATAGCAGCCTTCCTAGCAGTGAAATGATTGGCAATGTGTGCTTTTGTCTAATTTTGAAAGGGTTTGCTTGGAATTAGTGGATTGATTTGTTGATACTATGGCACAACTGCTAAACTGTTTCTCGCTGAAAATCAAATGTGACAATTCGTTCTTATCATACAGATTATTCCCTTGAGACTAGGAGAAGTGTTACCTATGAAATAAAATTATTTATCATTCAGTATAAGCAAAGATGAAAGTTTATTATGAAAACCCAGGTATGGTATGCGAGACATTGAAATTTCAAGAAATGTCATGTTCTTCCAAACAATATTAAAAGTAAATCCTAAGAAATTAGGCTGCTGTAATTCTCTCCATTATCTTAATCATACTGGTGGTTAAATACTCTTGGTTCATTGTCAATCAGGTCTGAAAGAATATATTGCAGCAAATCCAGCATTCAAATTTGAACATTCCACTACAGTCATCAATTCTAGAATTTCTGATGGTGCCATCTCTAGCAGTGAATATGAGGATTCTGAAGTGCAAGATGAGTTTTATGATGCAATGGCTGATGACTCATCATCATCATCATCATCAGAAGAAGAAGAGAGCGATGATGACCATGAAAAAGTCAAGGTTATTTTAGATTACTTTTGATGTCTCATTTATAGTTTATAGTTGAACCCAACTTTTTTATAGATAGCAATTGAAATTCTAAATAACTCCTGAGCTGAAAGACATCTCTCTTATGGCAGGGAGTGAAAGTTAAACTGAGGAATGTTTCATGGGCCATCACAGGCTTGGCATTGAAGCGAGCTCCAGGTCCTTTCTCTTCTGATGATAATAACCTTACCGGTTCTTTGTTGCTGCTTCTTTCACATTGGTGTTACTTTTTTAGTGGCTTGAAAATTATCTCCATTCCCAATAATATTAGATATTTTGCCTTCTTGGTATACAAGTAAAGCTTTACTTTTGGTGATAAAATTGTATATATCGATTGTCTTATTTCCAGTGTAGTTGACTTAAACGAGGAGAAAATGGAAAAAGGAAATAGTACTTAGGTTCATACTTTTGTCTGTGCTTCAGTAAGTGCTAAGTCTTAACTGACAACTGATGCTCTTTTCCCTTTCTGCCGTATAGTCTCAGTATTGCTCTATTTCAAATGCAGATCCAGATGCAAGGAAGGACTTGGATCCATGTATAGCTCCAATCAATATTGATCCAAGCCAATTTCATGGTTCTCTCAACAAAGGAAAGGATGAAAATGATTCAAACTGTTGGACTTCTCCAAGCGGCACAGGATTTATGGTTAGAGGAAAGAGTTATCTAAAAGATAGCTCTAAGGTGGGTTCTTCTTTCTTTTCGATACATTGTTAATAATATCTTATTTATCATATTATAATGTCAAAATGAAAGGGATTGCTTATTTGCTATGTGTGTTTGTGCTGCATGTTTTGGATTTAAATGCATGTTGGAGGTTGTGTTGTCCCATTCAACGAGACTGATAGTTTATGGATTAGTAATTGAGTTGATGATGAAGACCATCACATTCTGTTTTGAATATTAAATACTGATTTATTAGAAACACTATTGTATACCTGGATCAAAATGTCATGCATAACCTTTTTGCAGGTAATGGGAGGAGATCCCCTACTCAAGCTCATTTCAGTTGACTGGTTCAAGGTTGACAAGGCCATAGATGGGATTTCACTTCATCCCAGGTGTCTGGTGCAGGTACTGTAGGTTAATTTTTGGTTTCTCTTAACTGATATAGTTAGGAAAAATTGTGAAACTAATCCTTCTCACTTTTATAGATGGACTCATATTTACTTAATAGCTATAAATTCTGATTGGGAACCCTGTTTTGCTTGAGTCTGATATATGCCTATTTAATAGCTCCCTCCCTTGAAGCTATGAAATTTGATTAGGAAGTTGAAATGCTTGAAAAATGTATTTGTAGATTTGAACATTTCATATTTACCGTGGTCTAAGAACAGTCTACTCTTTAAAATTATTTTAGAGTACATTTTTTCAAATCAAGCCCAGTATTTAGCCAGAACAATCTTGCGACTCTCTCTGTTATGTGATTATTCATTATCTTAGTGGACAGTTTCAAGCTGTCTCTGAAAAGTTATAGTAGCTTCATATCAAAGCTTTTAGATTTCATTGCTTGATTTCTGCTGGAATCAAATAATCTCTTGGTTTTCTACTCTTTTTTTCCACCATGCATGATGACTTGTCTTGTTACAGTATGTTAACTTTCTTCTATTAATAATGCCTCAACTTTATCTGAAAAGGAGGTGTGGTTCTGCTCTTAAAAAGATATATAGTTCTATGTAATTTGAGTGGCCATTTATCCAGTGATTGCACCTTTTCAATTTCAGACTGAAGCTGGAAAAAAGCTCCCCTTCATTCTGGTTATCAATCTCCAGGTATGCCAAAGAATGCATTCCAATCTCGTTCAATTTGATATGTTTTAAAGTGTCAAGAACTTGGAAGTTAGAAGTTAATGTTTTATCTGTGATAAACCATTATTACAATGCCTGCCATATGCAAGTTTCACATTAGTTACATATATTATATAAAAATTCATAGTTGCCTTTGGGTTTATAAATATGGTGTGAATTTCCAAATGCATGCATTCCAATCTCCATTTTGCTAATTTTCATTCTATCCAAAATACTCTTACCCTAATCTGGAACTGTGTTGACTATATGAATTCTTCTCCCCAATTTTCATTCTGCACCATATTTTCAGTTGGAGACAAAGCCTGCAAAGAACACAGCCTTTTATTTTAGGTATCATAGCTTTACAAGCTATTATAGGTCATTATAAAAAGACTGAAATGCTGATCAAGAAAAATAGAGACTGGAATATGCCTAATCGTATGTAGCCTCTATACTTTAGAGGATGAAGATGATTTTGGATTTATTAGGCTTGATGAATGTCATTGACCATCATTAACTTTCAGTATTTTAAGATATTTTCTGATTTTAGAAGGTACATCATCTTTAAAAAAAAGCATGTGGTCATTTCTTTTTTCTTTTTCAGATTCCATCAAAACCAAACTACAGTTTGGTTCTCTACTATGCTGCAGACAGGCCAATAAACAAAAGTTCTTTGTTGGGTAAATTTGTTGATGGCACAGACTTGTTTCGGGATTCAAGATTCAAATTAATTCCTAGCATTGTTGAGGTATTCCATCCCATTAAGATTATTACTAACATTGGTGGCTTTTTCCCTGTTTTGCCTTTAATATGTGGAGGCAGCTCATTGCTCTTTGAAATTAATAGGGATATTGGATGGTCAAGCGCGCAGTTGGAACAAAAGCTTGCCTATTGGGGAAAGCAGTAACCTGCAAGTACCTCAGACAAGATAATTTTCTAGAGGTAATATTTTCTCATACTTTTACCGCATCAGATGCAGTAGACACTTTACTTGAGATCATTCAGGATATATAAGGAATTAAACTGAAACCCTTTTCTTTGGTTGTGTTTCTGGTAACCAGATTGTGGTTTGATAATTAACATGGTATCCTTGTTCATGTTTTGGAAAATATTTTGGTTTGTTTCACAAATGTATGTTCTTGTCCTTGGGGGGAAAATGCATATATAATGATTTCACTAGCAACTAATATCGTTCGGTTGTGAGTTTCCTGGGCTTATTTGATTATTTAATCAGATAATTAGAACATTCATTCCGATTTATTTTTCGTATTTTGGATGGATAGGCAAGCATAAGCATATTTGCTGCATGCCATAATGCCTTTCTCCTGTTATTCCTTTAACTTACTGTTTTTATGCTGAAACTTCTGTTTTGTAGATTGCTGTTGATATTGGCTCATCATCTGTGGCAAGAGGGGTCATTGGTCTTGTCCTTGGATATGTCACAAGCTTAGTAGTTGAACTTGCAATTTTGATAGAGGTTTGGACCGCTGTTAAATCACCCTTCCTTTTCTATTCATGGCGCAGTCTTGCCTAGCTATTGTACTTCTTCTGTAGACTTACAGCGCTTGAGGTTGGAAATGGTTATAAGGTCATAAACTATGACTTATTGCATTTTGTTCCCAACTGTGGGTGGACCTTTACAATTACACCCAGAGATTATTGCACTAGCAACCTAGATGGCCTCCATGATAAAAAAGAAAATACATTTAAGTTAAAGTACCTTATGGATTGGCCCAACTAAAACTTAGGCTGGCTCCAATTTCTCTTTATGATGGTACTCCCTGCCAACTGACAGATCAGTCACCTGATTGGACACTTGTACCGATGCTAGTTATAGAGCTCATGGTTTGAGACAAGTCCTAGGATCTAATGGCTGAAAACATGGGATTTATGATAAACATGTGTAAACCCAGTTTTTTTTCCTTTCTTTTCAAATGTTAACCACTCCCTTTGGGCTTTGTTATGCAGCCATATTGATAATCCTTTTGTTATTCCTTCTCCTCGTGCCAGTAATTTTGGTTCATCTGGTGCTGGTTATTTTAGTTCTTTTTGTGATTTATTTGAAAGAGTACTGGGGATGCAATGTGCAACATTAAATGACCATAGTGGTGTCCAGCATTGTTGTGTGTGTTATAGTTATAATGTCACTAATGGTAATCCTGTGCTGACATAGTCTGAGTGAATCTTCATGTATGATTTCTGAATTGTTAACTTAATCCAACTCGCATGATCCTGACTCCTGAGTACATGCATGTGATAATCAACCTGATATTGAATCTAGCTGTTTTCCCAGGCAAAAGAGGAGGCAGATCTGCCTGAGTATATTCTCGGGACCGTCCGGCTAAATCGTCTAAGGATTGACACAGCTGTACCTTTGGAGGTTTAAGGTTTTCAATTGTCAACATTCTCCATTCATCAGATTCCTGTCCGGCTAAATCATCCAAGGATCAACACAGCTGTACCTTTGGAGGTTTAAGGTTTTCAATTGTCAGCGCTTAAGGTTTTCAATTGTCAGCGTTTTCAATTGTCATTGTCAGCGCTTAAGGTTTTCAATTGTCACCGTTCTCCATTCATCGTGTATTCCTGTGATCGATGCTGTTATTTTTGGGGCTTCACTCGCTCTGATATCTCTGATCCGATAAAAGATCGCAACAGACATATTATAGTGCTTTGTTTAGATGTATTTATAACACATGGACAGATGGAATGGGTTTCTACATGGTGAGCTATAAGCGCAGTTGAAGATTGATCAGGTGTGAAAGATCCCACATAAGTTTGGTTCGGTAGGATTTACAAGGAGAATTAGACTTGAGTTGATGCTCAGCCTTTTACCGGAATCGCTCATTTGATTGTCGGATTGGAAAACTAGTGGTAGAGTATCTGCAAACTCTGGTAGATACCATCTTGTATCCAAATTATTCAGCTCTTCATTTGTCTGAATGCTATTTTTAAAAGAACATCTAAGCTATTTGCATCTCGTGGTTCTTGCTTTGCCAAGGTAAAGAAAACAGGAATTTGTGTAACCAAACAAGAATGGACTGATTGTTTTCTTTAGTTGCTTGTGGTGTTCATTGCATCATGGTTCTACTTCGTTAGGTATGGATCGTGTGGTTTAGGTTATGTTGTTGTAGTCCTCAATTCTTCTTTCACATCAAAATGGAGGGCATGCTCAAAACCTCACCAGCCGCTTATTACTTGAACAATAGACACTGTTAATACATAAGTGGTCGAAGTAGATTTCATGCTTTATGGTGCCATATCAAACAAAAACAGTACAGAGGAAGGAACTGTTGAAGAACTGGTGTGAGTGTCCTTTTCTCCAATCACTTTACTAACCCCACCCACCTTTATTTAATACTTTATTTCCAAATGCATGCCATGCTTTATGATTGATTGACGTTTTCTGCTTGTAGAATGTTTCTGTTATGTTTTTTTCATTAGTTTCCGCACCACCCTTTTTTTTTTTTGTGTTTTTGTTTTTCTTAAAACCATCACATGCCCATGTTTCAAAAATATATATATATATATATATTTAGTAAAATAACACAGCTACCAAGCTGTGTTCTTAAAAATAACATAGCGATTTCGGTGCATTGTTAAAAATAACATAGCTCGTAAGATTGTGTTGTTTTTAATAGCTGTATAGTGTGATTAATTATTTGTTTGTGAGTATGGTTTGTTTTTTAAAGTATTTCATGTTAAATTTATTAAAATAATATTTTTTATTTTTTAAAAATTATTTTTAAAATTGACGTTTTAGAATAATTCAAAATATATAAAAAAATTAATTTTTAATAACAAATTAAATTTTTATGGACTAGACTATGCGTAAAAATTAGAGTTCTCAAATTTTAAGATTATAGAATTAAATTATAGTGAATTCTCTGATATTTTATTAAAAATTTAAATAATAATTTTTTTTACAAAATAAGTCAGATACCACTGCAATAATTTCTAATTTAAATTTATTGAATTAATATATAATTCATCTAGTATTTAAGATTTCTAAATACCAATTAAAAATAAGTAATTAAAATCTAAAATTAAAACAACTTTAAACTTCATATTAACATGGTTCTGGTTTTCTAGATTTTTTAACAGGCATCTCTTCGTGCTTGGTTTTATTTATCTTCGATCAATAGCTCAACCTGTGTTTTTTTAATAAAACAACATAATCTTAAAAATAAAAATAAAAAATAAGATTTACAGGTTACATCATTCCCATCAACTGAACATGTTAAAAATCTAAAAAATTGTGAAAGCTGCTTTGTTTTCAAGAGCATAACCCTTAAGCTATATTATTTTCTCAATTATATCTTACTATATCTTTCACTCTTTCCATATTTAGCCACTATAGAATGTCAAACCTATCCATGGTTTCTTCCGTTACAGGCAACTTGTTCAAGGTCCCAAACGGTCTTTTCTGCTTTTCTTGTAGCGTGCTCCTGTGAGAAAGAAGGGGAGGGGCTCAATTACCCCTCAAGAAAGATATTTATGGCAGTATTTTCTTATAATCTTGTTGCATTAAGAAGTCAAATCAAAGCATGAGCTCCTCCCTGCTCTTTTGACTGCTTATAATGGGAATCCAATTCATTCAATCGAGTGAGCATTTCTTTTCCTTAAAAGATGTGTTCGCCTCTGCCCTCGAGACCACACGGTCGGTGGTTGTCCTTTTCATCCATGTCTTTGGAGGAAATCTCTCCCCCTTATTTCACTGAACCATCGTGTTCTTTCCTTTCGGCAAGTGTTTCTTCTTTCATGCTGCGATAACAAATAGTGAATTCCTTGGTTCAGTTATAGATGCGTAATGGCATAGCTCTGTTCTTGCTACACTCTGTCTGTCGATTCAAAAGGCTCCCAGCTGAAACATACCTTCTCCTTCGAATGTGTTTGGGAGTACCGTTAAATCATGTTTCTGAATTAAAAATAAGTTTTGAAAAAAAAAAAATATATATATATACCCTTTCATCCATTTTCATAATTGTTCGGGATTGATCATAAAGTGGTGTGGTGTTTGGTTATGGTAAGCGTGCATTACGTTTTTACATGGTGAAAAGACCTGTAATTTTGAAACAGAAAAGAAGAGGAATAAAAAGAAGAGAAAAACCATATCCGGATTACAAAAATAATAAAAATATTCTCATTTATCTTAAAATTATTCTTTAAATTCCCCCTTTCCTATTTCTTTCTTCTCTTTAGGTCTATACCTCTCGTATTAATAATTATAGTGTGAACGTCATAAAATTTCTCTAGTATTAATAATTCAGTGGTTGTTTGCTCCAGAGTACCTCTTGTGATTATGTGGCCTCCATATTTGATGTATTCTGTGGGGTTTTTTTTATTATTATTATTATTAACCTGTGAGAACCAAACATCATCAACTCGGTTGAAATTAGAGATGATATTGCTTGCAACTTTGCAGGCTACAAGCATCTCTTTCGAAGAAATCAGAAGGAAGAAAAACACTTGTATTCTATCGCATGGAAGCAACTAGCGAGGATACATGGGGGGGGTTCATTTATAGCCAATATTAAATGACACTTGATTCTAGCACGCAAAGGGACTCCTCTGCCGGCCTGAATTACTTCATCACGGGGTCACTGTGAAAGGGTCGCGGGACGCAGGACCCCCTCGTGATGTGATAATGTCATCTGAGCACCAAGATCTTACAACCCTGCACTGTTTCCCATACATATATGAACGGACATGGACCTGTATGGCTGTATCTGCTCAAAACGTTCTTATATAGGGCCAAAACTCCGTGCAGTAAGGCAAACGAAGGACAAGCTTTTTTTGTCCATGGCACTCACGGCACTCAAAACTTTTCTGCCTTCTCTGCTTCGTTCCCTTGACGAGCTGCTTCCCAGAACAAACAAAACCCAGGAAAACTGTTAGCTGCTTGGGTTCTCTCTTTTTTGATAATGGTGTCCAGCTACTCCCTAGATTAGGTTCAAAGACAAGACCAACTGCTTCAAGGGTGTGAGACTAACACTTGAAAAGGCGGTGTACCTTTGTGCCTAGTTTAGCATGTCAAGTATAGCTACTTGTAAATGTTTGCTGCTGGAGGACCTACCTCTCTATACTCTGTACAGGATACGTTAGGGCTTGTGCTCCATATACGGCCAACTTCAAACCCTAGAGATGGTGAGAACATGAGATAAGTGGTCTTGTATGCAAGATTACGCAACCTAAATAATTACAAGTGTGCTCTCTTCCATGCGTCCGTCCATCTTGAGAATCACAGCACTGTAAAATAATGATGAGAGATATCTTTCTTCACTTTGGTTTTACTCTCGTACAGATCTTGAAAAATAAAATAATAAAAAGTTCATAGCACCGTATTAGAGACGTTAAGTTTAATTATTAGATTGCATTAGGAGCACGCACGAAGGAATGGATTGTGCGTTCACTGCCAACTGCCAAGCTTTTGCACATATGTCAAGAACGGGCTATAGATTCTTTTAATGTCCTCCAAGGGCACAAAAGGTTTAGTTTAATCATAAATCAAGGAAAAAGAGAGCTGCTTTTTCTTATCACTGCTATTGTCTTTATTCTGTAACTTCTCTGCACCTGCTACTATCATTTCAATGACTGGTCAATCCCAAAACAAGGACTTAATTGTGTACACAATAAACTGGCAAGCATTTTCCTTGATTCAATGCTTGCTTAATTTGATCTGGTCACACGCAAATCTGGATGATTTTTTTTCTCCTAGCCCAGCATTTGCTTCAGTGCTGCCATGACAGTTTGCTTCCGATAGTCCAAAACTAGTTCAGAACTGTTGCTATCATAATAATTGCTTACTTTTCTTAATTTCTTATGATATTCTTGCTTATAAAATATTGGTTCGCTTTATCCTAATCTGCTACTGTTTGCTTGTAGCCATCCAACCAGAAGAGGATACAGAAAGGAGCTTTATCTCCAAAATAAAATGGCAAAGATATGGATGATTACGTTTATGTTGAAACCCTGTTACAAATTAGCAACTGCAGCTTAAATATTTCATTTTCTCCAGTGAAAAGCAGGCAAAAGTTGCTTAAACATGGAAAAGCTAGATTCCTTAGTGGCCAACACCATCCAAATCAACAATGACCCTAAGGCCCCTTTATTGCCTCTAAAATAAATTGATTGATGGCAAATTCTCATTTCAACTAATCCCTATACGTCACTCCCTTCTTTTATGCCCTCTTTCTCTAGTCCCCATGCACCTCTCATCCAACAAAAACATAAAAAATACACACAGGCCTTATTCTAAACTGACAGATTTTTCTCTCATCTGGGGTTGTCAATAGTTGTCTTTCTTTCTCCTCCACTTCGAGTTCCAATGGAGATTTTCCATTGCTTGTACTTCGGGGTGCTCTTGGCCTTCACATGCATCGTTGCGGTTGTTTTGGCTGATGATCCTTACTCAGAGGCACTCTTGAGCTTAAAATCTGAGCTCATTGATGATGATAACAGCTTGGATGATTGGCTAGTGCCTCCTGGAGGAAACACAGAAGAGAAAGTCCAAGCATGCTCTTGGTCTGGTGTCAAATGCGACAAGAACTCCACAGTTGTTGTTGCTTTAGACCTGTCTATGAAGAATCTTGGAGGTGAATTGACAGGGAAACAGTTTGGTGTCTTTGCGGAGCTTGTTGATCTTAACCTCAGCTACAACTCATTCTCAGGGCAGCTTCCACTGGGAATATTTAACCTCACAAATCTAAAAAGCTTTGATATCAGCAGAAACAATTTTTCTGGCCGGTTTCCGGGTGGAATCTCCAGTCTTCGTAACCTGGTTGTGCTTGATGCCTTCAGCAATAGCTTTTCTGGGCCGTTGCCAGTTGAGGTTTCCCAGCTTCAATATCTCAAAGTTTTCAATCTGGCTGGGAGTTACTTTGATGGGCCAATCCCATCGGAGTATGGTTCTTTCAAGAGCCTTGAGTTTATTCACCTGGCAGGTAACTCCCTCAGTGGTAATATACCGCCGGAGCTAGGCCATCTCAAGACGGTGACCCATATGGAGATTGGCTATAATTCATACGAGGGAAGTATCCCATGGCAAATGGGTAAC